AATTATAGTTTCAGAAGGCAGCATCTCTAAATGCTGGTCTCCCACTGACATAAAATACACAAAGATCAAGCAAGGCTGAAGGAAAATGAGTTGCTTAATGGCACAGGCAACCAGACCCCAAAAATCTGTTTCCGCCTCTGCGAAGCACAGACAGTTATTAAGGGGCACCTTACCCGTGTTACAGACACGGAAAGGCAAAACACACTTGGAATTTCACTCCTCGTGGGAGCTGCTACAATGCCAATTAGCAGGGCTGTGCCTAAATGCAGCCTCACGAGAGCCATGCGTTGCCATCAGGGTAAGCGGAGCCGTCGCCATAAGCCACCTACCAACGCTGGAAGAGACAGCCCGGTTCATGATATCCAATGCTTCGTTAAATTTGTCTTTGATCGATGGATGTGCTAACACTTGATCTGAGAACATGGACTTCCAACCCAGGTACCACTTTGTAATCTCTTCATAATTGGGGCTGTTACTAAGCCAAGAGCACAGCACCTGCAAAACAACACAAGAGATTGAATGCAGCAGGGACAGGTACATCTATGGACAGAGTCCTTATTATCACTTAACTTGGTTTGTTACTGAGCTTTCAGTAAAAGAAAGGACCGTGACAGTATTAGGAAATAGCCTGCTCTGATGTGGATGGAGCTATGAGTGGAAATCACCCCATTTAGTAGTTAAACCATTTCAGCACGGGGGCAGCAATTTCTAGGCAGGAGTCACTACAACACCTCCCAGAGAATCGAGCCTGTTTACTCAGCCTTCATAGTTTCTCACCTGCAGCCACTTTGGGAAGAAGTGTTTCTCCAGCAGCCCCACAAGACTGGAGACAGAAATCATCCCCTCCCAGTCAATCACCCAGTAGAAGGCATCCATGTGCTGCTGGTGTGGGTTTATGACGAGTTCGTTCAAACACAACCCTGGGAAAACAGGGAAAAGTAATTTGACTCAGAGTTTTATCAGTGCCCTGACCTATTTCACTAGCAACACACTATCTGAGGAGCACCTGTAGTGCATATTACCCCCTAAGGGACACTCGGGATCTTTAACCTGTTTGCCTGATCCCTGTCACCAAAAGAGAACGCTCCTCTTTTCAGCGATTACAATTTGCTGCTGGAACCGAGAAACTTAACACATTCAACTATTTTTTAAGACTACAGAGCCTTTTAGGTTTGCATGGCTGAATGCCAGTTACAAAAATCTCATGGTGAAAGCATTAGCACAGCCCAAAAAAAACAACAGAGACATTTTACAGCTTGGTACTATCAGGCAGTATCATATATTCCTGTCAGCTTAAGAAGAGGAATCAGATGATTTAGAAAAATAAGAGAAAACATGGAGAATAATCAGAGCACTTGCCCATATCTGCCTCTGGAAAAAAAAATGTCCAGTATTAGCAGTGGAATAATATTCTTGGAAGTAACACAGGCAACCATGTTATCACACAGGTGTTAAGGGGGAAGGAGGCAACCAGCAGATTCCAGAAACTCAGCACTGTTCTACTTGTCTCACCTAGTTTAGGCACGATGTTTTTGACCATGAAAGCCTCCCACGACCCAGGTGTGAACACATCTTTCCAGGGCTGAAGGATGAGTTTGGCGGAGGAGTCACTGGGATGCCACTTCTGCAGCGCGTTCGCCAGCTTGTTTCGGATGGGAGAGTAGAGCGGCTCTAACCGTGCCTGCATCAGGGGAAGCCAGGGGTGGATCCACGAATGGATTGGCACTGTGTCAGTCAAAGGATTCCAGCTTTCAACCTTGAGGTAAACCAGAAAAGATTAAGATAAGTCCCTCCATTAGCAGCAAGTCTTGCCAGGTGCAAAAGGAGCCGTAACGCAACCCCCCAACTCTGAACCACAGAGGCAGAAAATTGGTATTTTAGGAGCTGCAGTTGACTGCAAGTCAAATGCCAATTCACAGCACAGCTTCACTCTAACACAGCCTCTCGTCTTACCTCCTTCTGTAGCTTGGGGAAGATGAGCTGATCCAGAATGTTATCCAGGATCCAGACAGGAACAACATTTACCCAGCTATCCAAGAAATCCACCATCGATCCGCAGTTCCTTGGTTGCCACTGCACCACTATGTTCCTGACATATGGCATCCAGATTTCCCACATCAGTCTGGGGGAAAAAAAAAAAAAAAAAATAAAGTTAAGCCAGGATCCAGACAGGAACAACATTTACCCATCTATCCAACAAACCCCCCATCGATCCGCAGTTCCTTGGTTGCCACTGCACCACTATGTTCCTGACATATGGCATCCAGATTTCCCACATCAGTCTGGGGCGGGGGGGAAAAATCAAAGTTAAGCTTAAAGCTATAGCCCCAGGCCTAAATAAACCAAATGGTAACTGTTATTTAAAAGCTGCTTCTTTTTATATAGCTGACAGCTGGATTTTAACAGACACATTGACAGAATCAACTGGGAAGCACACTTGTATCTGTTCTTTTCCATCCCTCAGGAAGCAGCACTTGGAGATGCTGCACAAAAGTACAAGTCGTTTGCTCTTTACCTGTGAAAAGCATCTGTTGACAGGTCCTGCCCACTGTGCGATAACAGCTGATCATTTTCCAAAAGGCTCTTCCACTTGGCTATGATCTCCGTGCCATACGTACAGTCCTGGAAACGGAAAGGCATGAGCGGCCTTCATCTTTTCTCATTAATTTCTGCTGGTGCCTACAGAGAGCAGGCTGGTGGCATGCTCGGCTACAGACGGCTTTCTCACCTACTCTAAAGGCAAGCTAGGAACTTGCAGCCAAGTCCCACAAGAGGAAAATCCCACTCTATGGATTTAACATACCTCCAGGGCGGGGAAGAGGATAGTCTGAACTTTTTCGGGTGTACAGAAGGAGTTCAGACTCTAACCTACCACAGCCTAGATGGCTGTGAACAGACAGCACATACCTGAAAGACAGACCTCTCCTGCTCCTGCTAGAAAACAAGAACTGCAGAGTGAGCTGTCAGGGAACAGACTACTTCTCCCCAACACCCATGAAAGGGATTGATTTTAACCTTACAAGCTCCTAAACTGTTAGCCTTTGCAAAAAAGTAGCCTTCAGTCTCAGCAAATGTCTGAGAGTGGGTGCAGAGTAGGGCTTTGTTTTGG